TCTTGCTGCTGTCCTTGTCCTCCTCCTCCTCCTCCTTGCTCCTGCAGCAGCTAGTGCTAGCATCGTACAGAGATTTGAGCCTGTGACCTTCTACTTTTCATTGCTGATGTTTCGCGCTGCTGTACCCATTACTGATTCTTGCTGCTGTCGTTGTCCTCGTCCTCCTTCTCCTTGCTCCTGCAGCAGTTAGTGCTGCTACTCCTATTATTACAGTTGACGTCATCGCTGCCCCCAAAAATCGTCACCATTGCCCATTCTCATGGGCAGTGCGATTCGCAAGCGCCGCAAACGCCGCTCTCAGCGTTGCCTGCTGCTCTTTGAGAGCTTCAACAGTTGACGTCATCACCGCTCCCAAAATTCGCGCAGTGCGATTCGCAAACACCGCCTCTCTCGGCGCCGCCTGCTGCTCTTTGAGAGCTTCAAGTCATGCTGGAACACGTAAGCGGGGATCCCCTTCCTTTTCACAAGGGAGATGGTGATCCCCATGCCCGTCCTCCAAGACGAGAAGGTACGAAGGATCTCCTTAAAATCTTCTATCGCCATTCGCAGGCCCTCAAACCCTTGCAAATCAGGTTTCCGCCGCAAGCCCATGAAGAACGTGGATTGGATCTCCTCTGGCCTTGGATCTATGAAATCCCAAGGATTGGGATGAACCTTCACGCGCCCGTTGGTACATCTCTCCACCTTCACCATTAGCTCTATCCATCCGGCCCACGACCGTCGATCCTCCACCGAGCACGCTTTGACGTCGATCTGAAGGAAATAGTTGTACTGCTCAAAGAAAGGGTACGCTTCGAATAGCTCCTCCCACCCGCACTCGCCACGAGCAATCTCTTCCCAAACCTCCCTTCCCCTCCTAAACTCCGCTCTCATCACGCCAAAAGTGCTCTCCAAAACGTTATAACTGGAGTTGGAGCACGGGTAGGCCGGGGTTATGATGGGCATCAGATGATACTTATCGCGAGGGTTGCGCAGCGGGTCCCATACTGCTAACCCGAGGGACCCTTCCTCGATAGGACACAGCTTGACAGGATCAGGCCATCTCCAAAAATCGTAGACGCGGAAAAAAAGCCCCAACAACATGGTCGGAGTGGCAGCAGGGTACAGTTGACATACCCGAGCGACGAGCAGAGCCCAACTAACGCCACCCAAGAAGCCGAACTTTTTGGAGTACACACCGCGCTTGCTGGCCCATAACTTCACCGAGTGTAAGGCCGTGCGGAAGTGATCGACGTTGGGCACCAGTTTGAGAATGGCATCGGCCACTCGACAGCCATCCAGACCAGATATGCTCTTCTCATCAACGCTCTCCAGCATATCGTCCACTCCAAGATCTAAATCGTCAGGGATAGAGAGGAGATCGAGACGAGCATAAAGGAGGTCAATTGAGATATCATTGAATTTGAACTTCATAACGGGAACGTGCGCATCAGGGACAGGATGAAGCTCCGTCACTTGGGGCATAGACGCAAGAAGTCGTCTTCCCTCGACACGTGGCATGGTCCCACGCACAGAATATCGATATCAGCCCCGTGAAGATCTTCGCATTTCCAATTACATCCAGCAAAGCTTCGTCGCAACCTTTGTCCAGACTGACCCCTCGGACCCACTGCTTCACCATTTGGTCTACGTGACCAACCACCTCTTCGCGCTCCAATCTCTCTTCCGTACACTCGTACACATGAGCGTTACTGAGAAAGCACTCCAACTCCTCGCTCAACCTCACATCCACGTCATCTGGAGGAGCAGCAAACTCCATGAGCGCCTCCCCGCCAACTCGTAGCGAGCTAAGAGATGGTTGATACAATCTTGTCATCTCTCTCTCTCTCTCTCTCTCTCTCTCTCTCTCTC